AGTACAAAACAACTTATCCACCTAATTTAGTAAAATTTGGCATGCTGATACCTTATATTGCCGGTCAAACAACAGGTTACTTTTCATCCCGGAAGAAAGAACGGTTCCCGTGGGATAGATCTGTTTGTGCTTTTCTAGAGGTGAACCCGAGCGAAGCGAGGGTGAGCCGCTAGTATTATATAAAGCAGTAAGCTTCTTCAGAATGCAAAACTATGCAAAATGTTTTTATTTAACATTTTTATTTTAGGAAAATAGCTCGTAAAATTTTATAGTTCAAGTATTCGTTTCAGTGAATATATAAAAATAATATTCTAATAATATCAATCAACCTTTGTATAAAATATGAATCTATGATTTCTATGATACTAAAACCTTCAGATGTGTACGGTGTAGTGATTAAATCTTAACCACCTAATACTTTCTTAGATTTAAGCGAATGCTTGACATTTTAAATAAAACTATCTTTTCGGAGACACGGGAGGTCTCTCTCGTGACCATGATTGCTGTAAAGCATTCGAAACGTCGGGAACCAAAAATTAAAATAAATTCGCGAAAAAAATCCGAAAAGATAGTTTTAATTAAAATCTTAACCACCTTTTAAACTGCCAAGTTCTAACGTAAACCACTACCGGCGTATTGCGGCAATGTGGTACACTTCTCACTTAGAACACGAAAATATTTAAATCTTTTAAATTTACTGCTTAGTTTTCGACACAAAATGGCATATAATTTATCTTTAATAAGTAAAAAATTATAATCAATCCTACGAATTTTATAAACGCGAAAGTTAGTCAAAATGTACTCGTATATATTATGTGTACTTTTGTTACTATTTCATTCAAGAATTACTGAAATGATTTTGATGAAAATTTACCGTAATATAGCTTATACATTAGCGCCACCGCCATACGACTTTTTTTTATTGTTGGTAAATGCATTTACGCATACCACCTGATGGTGCTGTGATGGTGGTGATGTAGGGCTCACCGGCTAGAAAAGCCAGTAGTACCCTATTACCCACTAAAACCCAACATCCAGCGCCATACCACTGCGCCATATTTATTTGTCGAATAAGTTAAATAGCAATTCTTCGCACACTTGTCTCATTACTATAAAGAAATACATTTAAAAACGAACAAGATTTGACTTTTATAATATAATTATCATAGTCAGAAACGAGATAAATATTTTATTTGATGTGTTGTTCACATTCTACCGGCATCATTTTAGTGGTTACTAATCATGTGGTCATCAAGGCTCAAATAATAAAGTATTCAATGCTCAATGCAATTTAATCAGGAGAATCACAATGTTATAAACTTGAAACGGTAATTCTAATAATTTAATTGAGCAACGGGTTCTCATCTGACTTCTATCTACAATATCAAAACATACCTCTCCAAATGATCCGCCACGTTCAAAACCAACTTTACTCAACCACACAAAACGAATGTCATGATGGCGTCTCGACCCCGCTCGAGACGTAGGTAGCCTCGCTCTTTAATTGAAACTAGCTTGCTTCCCACTACTAACTTTAATCCCCATTTTCACCCCCTTAAGAGATGATTGCCGGGATAAAAAGTATCCTATGTCCTTCCCAGGGTCTCAAACTATCATCTTACGAAATTTCATCTAAATCGGTTCAGTAGATCCAGAGATTACCCCCTACAACGTCACAAACTCACAATCTTACAAACTTTACCTCTTTATAATATTAGTATAGATTATAGATAAATCAAATAAAAACTAAACTAAACTATTAGAATTTGAAACTGAAGACGTGAAAATTTATATACCTACTACTATTTGTAAGTAGATTCTAAAGCATTTATGCACATACTACCTAGTAGCTCATTAATAATTGAAAACTGATCCCACATTGCGCCAGCTTGGAACTCAACAAACTTTATTACTTGCGTCTTTAATTTGTTTATTAGAATGCCTCTGAATAGTTATAGTGATGTGACGCGACTGTCTCGATAGTTTGTCGAGCATTTCAATAAACTATTTTGATTAAAGTTTATAGTTAACTAGCGGCTCACCCTCGCTCCGCTCGGGTTCGTCCCTAGATACGTTTTGACCGTTTAACGTTTAGTACAGATTTGTCAGAGATGAGATATTTTCCCGCAGTGAAAAGTATCCTATATGTTGATCCGGATAACCTAATAATATATATATATCGACGTAGGAAAACAAGGAAAGTGACTTTTTACTACCATTAGAATCGGAAAAAAGCCGCATCGAATGACCCAGGTCCTGTGTCTCTACGATGAAAAAAAAATTACATACGCCGTTGAAAACGCCCGGACTTATATTTTTTTAGCAAGAAAAATGCTGTATGTATATATATATATATATATATATATATATATATATATATATATATATATATATATATATATATCTTAATATATATATTTCTTGTGTGCGTGTGTATGTGACTAAACTCCTCCTAAACGACTGGACCAATTTTGATGAAATTTTTTGTGTGTGTTCAAGGGGATCTGGGAATGGTTTAGATTCACAATTTGAATAATAATTTTCATCAAAAAAATTATTAAAAAAAGTTTGAAATTTTCAAATTAAAGACGTGTAGACAGGACAATGTCTGTCGGGTCCGCTAGTATATATATATATACAGAGCACACTGCCATTATTGTATTCTTTTATTACACTAAATGAAAAAAAAACAACAATAATTAAATTTAGTAGATTTCAATTTATCAATATTTAAAATAAAGTTTATGTAGACGCGAGAATTTTTTTGTTTTAAATATGTTAATTTATCCCTAAAAATAAAATAATTGTATATTATTTTCTTCTATTTTTGTAACCTTATATAAAGTCCATACGCAATCCGTCTGGGCGCTACGATGCCACAGACAGATATACAGACACACACACGTTAAATTAATAACGAGAGGCGTCGGGGGTTAAACCCCAGGAAAATGTATATGTTATTCTTTATTTAGGTATTAGTTACTATTAGGTATCATTAAAGTAATTATAAAGTAAAATAAAAAATATTTTTATTAAAAAAAATAGTTCAAAAATTATACTTTATTCTTCATGGATCCTTTTTGGGTGTCCGTCTTGCTCTAACAGAGAACCACGTGCATAATATTTATGCTGTATCGAAATAATTATGACCCATCGCAAAATATCTTGATACTTTACCGGAGTACCCTATAATTCTTGTGATAGCATAAATACATTTTATAATATATTTTGAAGCGTATTGTATACCTATATTACATTAGATAGTAGATACAGGTTTAACTTTATTTTGTGAGTATACGAAGCTAGATTAAAAGCGCTATTGATTGCTCTGGCATCAATGAACTGAATATACAGATTCGCTGTTCGTCATTTATTGAAGTGAAAAGCGCCGAGCGCCACTGTTCTACTTTACCTATTCAAAATATTGAAGTAAATGAGTATTTCAGTTTCATGATCCGACGACAAAGTTGTGCGCGTTTGTACCACGACATAACTATTTATTTGATTTATTTATTTATTAAAGTAATAGATATATATTGGAAAATATATGAACTTTCCTTACCCCACTGCGCGACGCAAAAGAGGGTAATCAGCCTATATGTATGTGGGTTTACCTTTGTGGCACTATTTAAACCAAACGCGTAGGCCGATTTTGGTAAAATGATACGTCGTTTAATTCGTCATGACGGCGCGTATGTGATAGAAAGCATAAAAATTTGGAAAAATCAAAATTTCCTATTTTGGACGCCATAATGTGAAAAAGAAAAAAATGAAAATCGACGAACTATGTCAAGTGGGATATCGCTGAATAAGTATTTTAAAATTATTTTTAGGTTTCTTTCATCATTTTTTCATTTTAAATAACAGTTTTGGATATAATGATTTAAAGTTGGTTAACAACCATTCTCGCTAATTTTTCTACTTGAAAATACTTAAAAAACTGTAAATAAATAAATCTATACATAAAATAAAATTGTAACTAAGCCGAATCTGTACATTAAATATTTTTTGGAAAATCTTATTGAAATAAACATTATTAACGATACAGAGTCCGAATCTATAGTTTTTAGAATTTTTGTCTGCCTGTCTGTCTGTTACCACAGCACAGAAAAACCACTGGAGGGATTTTGATTAAATTTGGTATGGTGATAGTTGGTTATCCGGGTCAACATATAGAATACTTTTTACCGCAAGAAAATATCTCATTTCTGAGAAAAAAAACAAAAACTGCAATGTAAGAGTATACTAATATTTAAAACCTAAGAATTCGGCTTTTGGTCATCTGAACGCAGGCGTAGCCGCGGGCAATGCTATGCTATATTATAAAAATATAAAACCCAACTGCATGAAAACTAAAAAGATGAAAATAAGTTATTAGTTAATAAGTTAGAAAATAGTATTATGCAGTCGGAGACATACACGTTTCATCCTTGCCGCGAGATGTACATATTCGTATGAATGGTTTTTAATTTTATGCAGTCGGATTTTTTTATTTTTATAATGGTTCCGACATATTCTAAAATTATACAATAAAGTGAAAAATAACCTACAAACTTCGTGAATATAACACCACACTAGGTCACGACTATAAAAGCAAAGAAGCCTTTGACGCTTAATTCCCAAGAGGCGACAGGTTGTGTTCTCTCGGTGTATTATTTTTAGAATATTTTTTTAACATACGAGTACGTAACATACTCATAGTAAGTCTTTATATACGTATATGATTATACTATATCTAATAGAAAAAAAAAACTATTTATCTGTTACTATTTTAATAAAATAAAGTTTACTTTAATTAAATTCGTAATTTTCGGCTTATCTTACTGAAACCAATTTCGTCATATCTCTCATGCATAATCCGATAGGACGACAAGACATCAGGACTGACAAATAGGGCTACAGATCGAGAGGTGCTGGATTCCAGTCCCGGATCGGAGTTTACTGACTTCTTCTATCACAATATATGTATTTGAAAACAGCCTGAAGCTGGAGAGTCAGCGATGTGTATGCCCGCACATTATGCCACCTGCGCCTCGGTCCTGCGCCTCGGTCCTGCGCCTTATCAATCACCTGTCATGTCAAGTTTCGTTCCTCCGGAATTTGAGATTCAAAGGAATTTACTCTCATGCATTTGGCTAGCCTCAATGAAGTTAGCCAATTGCACCTTAACCGGAATCGAATGGGAGGACTTTTATGACCGCATTGAGATCAGACGCAGCCCCGCATCCCCGAGGATGTACCTCTTCCAATTTACTGCGGGGAATTTCTTGCCCGAAAATCTAATTATTTTGTGGCACAACCTGGACTTTGATCCAAAAACCTGATCTATGGCCGGATAAGCTAGCCACTAGACCAGATTTATCACTTTATCCGTATCTATATAAAATTGAAATCTTTCATGCTACTTACACGATCATAGAACCTAAATGTTTTTTCGATCTGTATATAACTGCTAAAATCTAATAGTTGTGATTGCATTTTTGCAGGTAGATAGAGGATTCCAGAAGATTACCCTATTCCAGAAAATAAAATATTTTTCATTATAGTATCACATTTTTACTAGTATTTATTTAGGGGATGGGGATCATACAAAAGTAAAGATATAATTTTAATAGGAAGTATATAAAATCGGGTAAATATATAAATATGACTGAAGATAATATATGTAGGTACCTAAGTATCTTAAAGTAATTTAGTTTATTAGAAAGTGGAAATATTATTCTAGAACGTTTATCAAATATTTGTCTGCAATACGATTCGGCTAAACTAATCTCCTTTTTTTGAAGTCGGTTAAAAATATAAGCGTATATTTTGGTGATGAAATTATTAAAAAGTTATATCCTCGTGTCTAAATGCTAGTACCTACTCTTGGAGATTTTTTACATTATTGAACAGCTTAAAATATATTAAGAAACCGCCTAAAATTTATATTATTTGAATGAGTGCTCATTAACAATTTCTATATCTGATGATCGTGCTATGTATGATTAATAGCTATATTCAAATAAAACGGATAAGCAACGACGGATTAATAAAAAAAATATGCAGCGAGCAATCAAAGCAAACCAAAACTTTTTATAAAACCAGAATCTATGGTCTCCAATAGCAAACAATTCACGATGTAATAATATTATTTTTCATTCGAAGCGAGTTCTAGAAAAAGTAAATGGAAAACGAGACGCTGAATCTTAAATGTAATTGGCGAGCTTAGAAAGCAAGCATAGATTCAGAATCAGTTTAAAATTTCCAGCAATACAGGATAAAATTACAGTATAAATACGTATGGTATTTATGTTATTCTTTCTTAAATATTACTAGAAATTTTAGAATTTAAGATCAGAATCTAATTAATGATCTTACATTTAGCCACCCTATAACAGCGTTCTTAAGTGATCTCGGAAATGTGTCCGAGTACCCACCGTGGGCGTGGCGGAATATATTTTTTTTTCTTACGTTCTTGTTCTTGGCTATCGATAGTCATAAAAACATGGTTGGTCTAGAAAACATATACACAATATATAAAAAAGTCTTTCTAGCCTGTTCTAATATATATATTTTTAATTTCATTGTTAGTCCGTTAGACGTTTTTGTAATGTACGTAAAAAAGGGCACTTTTTCCGAAAAGATCTACATCACTACGTATTATAAAATAAAGTCCCCCGCCGCGTCTGTCTGAACGCGATAAACTCAAAAATTACCGAACGGTTTTTCAGACTGTTTACACCAATAGATGGAGTGATTCATGTGGAAGTTTAGGTGTATCTTATATCTTTAAACGAGAGAATTCTCGTATATATATAGTAAGTACCTGGGCTACCGAGCTACGCTCGGAGTTTTTGGCCTAAAGTACAACTTTTTTTTTAACTAAAAACTTGAATAAATATTTAAAAAAAATAAAAGTAAAAACTTTGTTTGCGACCGAGGTTCCAACCTGGACACCTGTGAATGTTGATCTTGCACCTTGGCCGCTTGACCACGATGCTTACACCAGAGCGTGCAAATTACCGACTATATTTTGCGTGGACTAATGCAAAAGAAAACCTGCATAAAAACTCGAAAACACGCGTTTTCTTAGACATAAGACAAATCTAGATCGATTTATCGCCCCGGAAACCCCCGTATGCTAAATTTCATGAAAATCGTTGGAGCCGTTTCCGAGAGTATCGTCATATATATATATGATGATGATGATGATTAGAAAATAAACTTTTACTGTTAAAATATACAAACCATTATACTGAAATTGTAATGTAACTTTTAGATTTAATATTATAACGAAGCATTATGACTTATTCATGGTCTACGAAGGAAGGTGACGCGATGTCTGAAGAAATATCTTTAGCCATTAGTCTTTGTATAATAAATAACAATTTTAAGATGTTATATATTTCAATACATGAATATAAAATAATATGACAAATATGAAATTTATTTGAAGTAACATTCATTTATTTTTAAAGTACATTATAGTAAAAGCTTTCCTTGTTACTTGTTTTTACATAAAAATCGTGATTTCCTAACTTGCAATAGGCACATATATTTGCCAGATATTATTAGGCAATTCTTTTCCATAAACATCGAGACTTGTCTTCATTAATGGAGCGCACACCTTAAATAAAATGTTATTAATTTATTATTATGGAGTCCTTACCATAAAAATGAATATGTGATTTTTGGCAAACAATAATAATTAATAAAAATTAAATATTTTTTACAAAATAAAAAAAAAACTAACTAATTTTAACTTAAAAAAAAAGTTGTATATTAGTAATAATGGACATTGGACATATTATATCTATTAGGTATCTTATTATTGGCAATAAGTTACATTCTAGGATTTTTTTATCTTCTAACTAATTCATAGATTCTAAATCATTACAACGTACCTTTCCATGAAATCCCATTACCCAGCAACCTACATTGATTCCCAAATTTATATTTGTAAAACAGTGATTTATTATGATGTCCGTATTCACCTAAAACGACATAAAATTATTCCACCTTGAAAGGACATATTCTTCTTGAAGTTATATGGGACCAGCATTGAATTAAAATCTATTTATAAAAAAAGTATTATGAAAATCGATTCACTAAAAATTTCGTCTAACATACATGGTACAATAAAAACATGAATCCAAAAATATATTAAATAAAAACTTAAAAAAAACCAACTTCCAGGCACCAAAATGTAAAAAATAACTTAAAGGGGGTTTTTTATTCAGAATAGATACTTAATCAGATATTTTCGAAGATGGTGCCAGCCGACGCATAGGAAATCTAATATATTTTGATACGTAAAATACATATTTACCTATTAGATATTCATATCTTAAAATATTGTCCGCTGACACCGACTTCGAAAATATCTGATAAGGTATCTATTCTAAATGAAAACCCCCGTTTAGTAATTTTTTACATTTTAGTGCCTGGAAGTCGGTTTTTTTTAAGTTTTTATTTTTATATTTGTTGTGTAGGCGTAATAAGCAGGTAATTTGTAAGAAGAAAGTTTTTTTGATAACATATTCGATTAAACAATGTGTTTAAAAAATATATTTATTGTTGCTTTTTTTTTAAAACCGCTCAACCGATTTCGATAAAATTTATATGGGACCACCTGGGAAGTATACCCTTTCAAACAAAACATATATTTTCTAAATCGGTTTCAGGCGTCTTCGAGTAATCGGTGAACATACATAAAAAAAAAAGATTCCGACGAATTGAGAACCTCCTCGTTTTTGGATGTCGGTTAAAAAGTAAAAAACCCGACTGCATAAAAGCTAGCTAAAAAGATGAAAACAAATTCACGAAGGAATATAGTATTATGCAGTCAGAGACGTACACGTTTCATCCTTGCCGCGAGATGTACCTATGTATACTCGTATGTATGTCTCCGAGTGCATAATACTATATTCATCTTTTAAGTTATCTTTTATGCAGTCAGGTTTTTTTTTATTTTTAGAATATATTTATGTATATATTTACAGCTTTTGAAGTATTTTTAAGTAGAAAAAATAGCGAGAATGCTTGTTAACCAACTTTAAATCATTATATAACCTAAACTGTTATTTAAAATGAATAATACAGGGATGTTATGAGTTTTTGGAATCCTTGTTATGAGTCTTTTAATTTGATACCCATATTACAGAAAAAACGTTAAAAAAAATTCACCTTGAACAATGAAATCTAGCAGCCTCCATTTTTTTTTATGTCACCTATCTAAGAACGCTTGAACTAATGAGACGAATTTAACGATACCTTAATTAAAGAAATCCAATGAGTGGCTTGGAAGATATGAGGGTATAAAAATTATTGCAAACAAACAAACAAACAAACAAACAAACAACAAACAAACATACAAAGATCGGCGCCAAAAAATAGCCCTTTCCTTGCAGTCGGGTAAATAGAGTACCACTTCCTTTTCTAACATCGATCACTAAGCCATAATTGTAAGGGATTTGCTTACAATAAAATATTTAATTTTCTGAAAATTAAGAAAATATTTGAACGGTTGGACCGATTTTCTTCGAAGTTTTGTAAAGTGACTGAATATCATAATAAAATTACTCTGTAGTCTCATTAGACCGTAGTCTACAAACATATTGTTTAAATTAATTATTTTACAAAAATCGGTTTATAAAGAACAAAATAAACAAACCAAAAGATATTACTAAAACTATGTATTTACTCACGTTCACTGGTTTCCCTTCCTGCTCGAATCTAGTAATATCGGGCCTTTGAACAGGCAAGATGCGCCATCTTGTATTGGATACAGAATGCTTGCTAAAGTAAAGTGGATACATGCCACAAAGACCAGGAATGGGGTTTGGATCATATCTAACATAAAGTGGCTTAAAACAAAAAATATATATATCGATATATGCTATATTACTATGTTTTATTTTAGCTAAATATTAACTAATACTATAAAATAACAAAAATTGGGAAAACAAGTGCAATTCTGAATCGCACATCAAAAGTTCTATAAAATGTTCTACAATTACTACCTATATGGAAACAAAGTTTTTTTTACACTCTGTTTACAGTTTGAGAACCATAAAACTGTGCAACTTAATGTTATTATAATAATAAAATAAATAAATAGTCTTCAAGTAAAGTAGCTGTGACATACGGAGAGACGGCCATGAACTAATTATAAGTGTTCTATTTTAGCCTTTAGGCAACGAAATCCCAAAAATAATGTAGAAAATTCGCAATTAACGACAAAAACTCGTAATATACTATACATACATAAACAAACACAGCCGAATTTACTACCTCCTTTTTATAAATCGATCAATAAATAGACTATGTAATATATTTCTGTTTGACAAAGTAGCGAGTATTTTTATGCAGGAAAATTATGTAGACTGATATAATTTATGAATCACTAATAAAATATTCACCAAAAACCTAACCGATGCTTTCGTCTTAATGGAACGGTACGGGATCGCTTTCTCGTAGCACTGCTAAACATGATAACAATAAAACCATTGCATCATCGAAAATATTTCATGCCTTTTATATGTATGTTGTTCTAAATTACCAAGAAAATAAATGCACCTTTTTCTTTGCAACTGAAGAGGAAAGAGCGAGAAGAAATTCCTGATTATATTTAAGAGATTCATCTTCACGATTGCAATAATCTGCACTAGTTATAATAAACGTATTTCTTTCTGCCGGTTCTAAGTCCGGTAATCCTACTATTGTGCACCCGTCTTCTAGATCTTGAGAATAATTGATTTCATTCGATGTTATATGACCTCCAAGAAGCAATCCCTTCTTGTTTTCTATTGGAGGATCTGATGCTATATGTTTAAAATAAACAATAATTTATTGTTATGTGAATTTGTTATTTCAATATGTTATTATTATCTATGGGTACATCCATATCTGTGAGTATGAGTATACATACTTTACAATTTATAAAAGAAACAATAAGTTATTTAATGTCTTATACAATTGGAACGCATAAATATATTTAATAAGTATACCATTGAATTACCTTTGAATTCTATTTCATAACTAGCGAATTACCCTCGCTCCACTCCGTTTCGTCCCTAGTTACGTTTTAACGGTTACAATATATAGATTTCTCAGAGATAATATATTTTCCCGCAGTAAAATATAATATATGTTGACCCGGATAACCAACTATCGTCATACTAAAAAATCTGTCCTCCAGTGGTTTTCTCGTGATGAGGTCATAGACAGACAGATAAGACAGACGGACACAGAGACAGACAGACAAAATTTAAAAAACCACAGATTCAGCCTCTGCATCGATATTAACGACTATTTCAATAAAATTTTCCAAAAAATATTTTATGTACATATTCGAGTAAGAATTTTATTATATGTATAGATATTTTATGTAAAATATTTACTCTTTGAAACATTATATTGGATAAACTACAATACTATATCGAAAGCAAGATTTCCAATATTCCGTCCTTTAGTCTCTAACAACAATATAATGAAAGTCATTACAAGACGTTTCGCCAAACTTTGTATTGGAATATTAAACAGATAACGTAGCAACCCGACCCTTTACTTATTTTATTGCTAACCTGGCACGTGGGGTGCGAGGAGGGCTATTCTAGCTCCAAAGCTAATACTACCAGAAGATTGAGTCAATACAGTTCGCTTGTTAAGATTCTCAGTCATTTTTCTATACCTCGCCAACATTAAATCGCCCTTTTTCATTTGTTCGAGGAATTTGTTGAGTTTATACTACAAATTGAAAACATTTATAGGTAACTATTTTATCTATTTGAATAATTTGCCCAATGAAGCCTTTATTACCTCTTCTAATTTGGAAGCTTCGTACCAATTACCAAGGAGGACACGATTGCAATAAACAATGCGTTTATCTTCCTCCATTTTAGATATAGTAAAAATAAATAAAAATACTTTCTTCGAGAAGAACGAAATAAATATTGTGTTGATAGTAATACGTCAAATTTATTTTTATTTTCCAGACTAAATATTCACTCAAAAAACTTTTTGTTCGATAAGTAGGGCTATACGAACTTTTGAAAAGATAAATTGGTAAATTGATAGCAGAATCCGTGAATTTCATCCAACATGACATCTTCAAGTCAGAATTATTGAAAATTATTTATATATAATTTATCGAAAACAATGTCTACTAAAACTTGTGCAGGCTGCTTTAATGCTTTAAAAATTAAGGATAGTTTGAAGTGTTCAAAATGCCACAAAAATTACGATACACTATGTGCTAATATTAATGACGGTCATTCGAGAGCTTTGAGTACTGAGCAGAAAAATGCTTGGAAATGTCCAGATTGCATGAATAAAATACCTAAAGGTAACAATACTAATACTCCTTTACGTCCGCCTCAATCGGACATTACACTCTCTCACAATACGAGCTCTCCGTCTTGCACCAACGTAACACTGCGTAACAAACGCTGTACTAATAGTACTCAAGCTTTATCGAGTGACGAAAATATTTTTGAGATATCTAGAGCCGACTTAAAGGAATTAATCAGACATGAAATAAAAAATGCTGTTCATGAAGCCTTAGCTGATCAACTTAAAGGAATGAATGATTTATTATCTAGCTTTCAGCAATCTCTCTCATTTTTCAATGATCAATTCGAAACTATGAAGTCGTCTTTATTAGAAAAATCAGTAAAAATACAAGAACTCGAAAAAGTAAATAGCAGTATGCAGACTTCAATTGAAGATCTAACAAAACGTTTAAATATTATGGAGCAAACCTCAAGATCCTGTAACATTGAATTGCAAAATGTACCGGAAAACCGCTCTGAAAACTTAATTAGCTTAATTACACAATTAGGGAGAATTACAAACCATGAAATTAATGATGGTGATGTCGTGTACTGTTCAAGAATAGCAAAGTTAGATGCAGCAAGCAAACGGCCGCGTTCGATCATTGTTAAATTCAATACTCCTCGTCTTCGAGATAGTTGCCTAGCCGCGGTAATGAAATTCAACAGAGCAAATACAAACAATAAACTGAACTCGAGCCATGTTGGTATTGCAACAGATAAGCCGCAGCCAATATACGTAACGGAACATCTCTCCGCTGCTAATAAAGCAATACATGCAGCCACAAGGGTACGTGCCAAAGAGTTAGGGTTTAAATACGTTTGGATACGTAACGGCAGGGTTCTTATGAGAAAGGACGACACTACGCAGAGCTTGGTCATTAACAGTACAGATATGCTGAAATCTGTTAAGTAATTTTTTGTTTTCTTGTATATATTGCTTGTTATTATTGTATTATTTCTAAAAAATCAATAATCTTAAATTTTATTACCAGAATGTACGCGGATTAAGAACTAAAACTGTTGATTTATTCTTTAATATATGTCTGGAAAACTACGATATTATTGCACTTACAGAAACTTGGCTTAGTGGTGACATTTATAATTCTGAACTGTTCGATGATAGATATATAGTTTTCAGACGGGATCGCGAAACTAGTCGCTATAAAACACGTACAAGGGGAGGCGGGGTACTTATTGCCATATTAAAACATTTAAAACCAATAAGACTGCCACATTACGAAAGTACCTGCGAGGATCTCTGGGTGAGTATTAATGTCAACAACTCCGAAGGAACAACTGAGCAAGTAAACATTGGTGCAGTTTATCTGCCACCTCCGCTTAATACTGATCTATTAGAGTCGTTTATTAAATTTGCTCAAAAAGCTGCTGAATCGAACAAACACACAATCGTAATTGGAGACTTTAACTTGAACAACATAAAATGGTCGACTGACACCAATACAGAAACCATATCAAACGATTCTGAAGTAAGTGCGACTTTACTAGAATTTATTTTTATAAATGACTTTATCCAATATAATGATATACTAAATAGTAAAGGTAAAGTGCTCGATCTGATTGTTAGTAATATTCCTATTCGGAATCTAATGCGGTGTACTACACCGTTAATCATAGAAGATCCTTTACATCCTGCTCTAGAATTTTGTTCACACTTAAAAGTACCTTACCACCTACAAACTAAAATCTCTACTAGACCTGACTTTTTCAGAGCTGACTACGAAAATATCGTAAAGTTAATTAATTTAATTAATTGGGACCAGGAATTTAAAGACTGTTTATCAATTAACCATATGTTAGACCGTTTTTACAAATTAATAAGAGATATAATAAAAGAATGTGTTCCTTTGAAGAAGAATAACGGCAACAATAAATACCCTCCCTGGTACTCTCATTGTCTTATTCGACTCCTAAAAGACAAATTTAAACTTCATAAAAAAATTAAAAAGTTTAACAATCCCTTAGATATAGTTCTATTCGAAAAACTTCGCTACGATTGTCGTAAGATATCTACTGTATGTTATAATACATATATTAAAATGCTTGAATACTCGATCTTTAAAAACCCTAATCTGTTCTGGTCCTTAATGAAAATCAAAAGAAAGGGTAATTGCGCATATCCTTCCCAAGTGCAACTCGACGATACAGTAGCATCAACTGGTACCGATATTTGTAACTTGTTTGCAAAAAACTTTGCACAGGTCTATCATGACGCTAATCAGGTTACAAAATACTCGTCAAAAAACAAAGACGTTACACCTAATGTTGGTTCCATTTGCAACTTATCTCTTAATACTGCAGAAGTATACAATGCATTAAAATCTCTAGATGAAAGGGCGCTGGTAGTGATAGAATTCCTCCGATTTTTATAAAAAGATGTGCAAAAGCCCTAGCTTCACCCGTAAATGCGATTTTCAATCGCTCTCTAAGGGACGGGATCTTTCCGGACTTGTAGAAAGAAGCTTTGATAGTTCCGATTTATAAAAACGGCAGTAAAAACCTTGTCTCTAATTACAGACCAATTTCTCTACTTCCAACACTGGGTAAAGTTCTCGAAAGAATGATAAACGAGCGATTATCTCGGGATCTAAAGCAACAAATTTCTTGTCATCAGCACGGCTTCCTACAATCAAGATCAACAACTAGTAATCTGTTAAGCTTAACTTCAACGCTGTCTGAACACATTGACAATAGAGTTCCAGTCGACGACAATCTATACAGACTTTAGTAAAGCATTTGACAAAGTAGATCACATAATTTTATTGGAAAAACTCTCACAATTCGGTATTGGTGGTACTCTGTTGTCTTGGTTTCAATCATACCTACAAAGTAGGTCCTTCAAAGTAGTTATTAGTGGTCACAGGTCGTATACCTGCTCGGCGCCATCCGTCAGATCACATCCATCAGTTCGCCGCGAGGCAAAGATGGGTATAGATGCACCCCCGTCGTTCTCAGCCAAATAATACGTTTTGCTAGTTTAAACCAAATTTAATAAAAAAAATCTTATATAATTAGCTAATTTACGTTACAAGTAAAGGTGTAGTGCAAATTTTATCAAGTATTCTGCTGAATTTTGTGCTAAAAATAGTGAAACTGTGAGTTACTTTATTGTATGGTATTCGTAACATACGACCGTGTCTTTGTCGCCGTGGGTCATTAACCTCAATACTCGATGCATCACATTGCCCGTGACAACATAGTCTAATTCGCCTATCGTCGCTAACGTTCGCTGGCGTATCGGTGCACACCTAGTGGTTAAACCGACACGTTCCAGGTTCAAACCCAAGTTCATAAAATAATTTTCGTTTTTAAATTTTAATAATATACTTATAAGAACATGGAATTTGCTTGTTGCAACAAAACTACATGTGAAGCTCACGATCCTCTTATTTGTACACGTTGTGAACGAAACTTCCACGTCGCTTGTGCGCTGCCATCTAAATCACTAATTTGGGAGCCCGATGAAAGCATAAGACTAATGTGGAGGTGCCCCTCCTGTGGCAGCGCCTCTCCTCGTAACAATAAAGACGATACTCCTTGCCGTAATGTTACAAAGCGCTCTCAGCCAAAGAGTGACAAGGCTACAACGAGTATTGTAGACAAATCCGCTAAGTCAAACCAAAAACCTTTAAGTCTTGCACAGATTACGGTGGAGGAGATACGGTCTATAATTACATCTGAGATTAAAGATGCCCTGTCGTCATTTCAAAAATCTTTCGATGATCTTCGAATAGAAATATCTTCACTACGCAGTTCTGTGCAGTTTCTAAGCGACAGATATGATAGTGTCACAAAAAAGATGGAATCTATTGAAGCGAAAATGAAAACAATTGAAGCTAGTAGATCGGAATGCTTAAACTTGCAAGGAGCCGTGTCCGCACTTCAGAACGATATTAATAAAAAGGAGCAATGGGCGCGACGTTTAAACATTGAGATAATCGGTATACCAGAAGCGAAAAATGAGATCCCATCAAAAACATTCTGTAAAAAAATTGCAAGTCTCGCAACGCATTTCTTCTACCGCAAAAAGCTATGACATGTAATGTAAAACCAAGTCGGTTAATTTATTCATTACCTATCTATGGAAGCATCTATCCGACAACTTTGTCATAAATCGTTACCGAATTAGTTAAGTTACAACATTTTATAGTGACCGTATTAATATTAGATATATTTATTTCTTTAATTAATAGAATGACTTGGCCATCACACGGAAACAATCACATAAGAGTCTACTACTTTAAATAGTCCTGATTAAACATATCATGACTAAGGTGGACGGACGACTTGGTCAAAGTCGCTGTAGCCCACTGGATGCGGATGGCACAAGACTGGTTGTCGTGGAACTTTTTGGGGGAGGCCTATGTCCAGCTGTGGACGTGTTTGGGCTGAGATGAACTGAACATAGCACTAGCGGGTCAAATTTATGCATACACTAACATAAATAATGCACTCAGAACGCTAATTTTAGGTAAATTTTGTTATTTGTAGATTCTATTATCATGTGCGATGGCCAAGTCATTCTATTAATTAAAGAAATAAATATATCTAATATTAATACGGTCACTATAAAATGTTGTAACTTAACTAATTCGGTAACGATTTATGACAAAGTTGTCGGATAGATGCTTCCATAGATAGGTAATGAATAAATTAACCGACTTGGTTTTACATTACATCTCATAGCTTTTTGCGGTAGAAGAAATGCGTTGCGAGACTTGCAATTTTTTTACAGAATGTTTTTGATGGGATCTCATTTCTTTTTGTAAATATTTCTTCTTTTTTTCTTTTCTTGTACTATTTCTTGTGTGTCAGCTAAGGACTTTTTAAAAGTCTCAGTGGGCTTTTTTCAGAGGCTTTAATATAGGTAACAAATTTTGACAAGTCTGGATGATAAAAAATCTAAGTCTATTGTATTGGGAAATTACGGATTCCTGGACTTTAATACTACTATCTTATGCATTAAGTATAAATATGTATAGTTAATTTAACGATAACAATATTTTAATTTCATTGTTGACCCTAAATACCTACCCCGATTCTGATATACAACTTACATAAGTTTAATAAGACGCGTAGATTTATGTGTCTATCTGCAGCATCGTAGTTAAATCCCGAAAGTTGTATTCCATTACATTTTAAAAGTAATTTTCGTAGAGATTGATATTTCATAACCTCTATATTCCATGTTCTAATAGGTGGGTACAATTACGAGCAATGAGATGTTGACAAGGTTTTCTAATTCATATCAACATCATACTTTGTAATGGAGAATGTACGAGCTTTGTTTCAAAATTAAGTAATCGTCAAGTTGTTTCTTAATTAGGTACATATTTTAATCAATTCATTATAAATAACAGTAATCGAATATTAGTAGGTATAAACTATACACGCTTCACATTACATTTATGTACATATTTGTATATGCATAAAAATGTATACAGCTACCAAAAAAGCTTAAAATATTATTTTCGCATTTAAAAAATACTTTTCTAATACATATAATTGCAAATATAAACATTAATAAATAGACCAATCGAAATTAGTTTCGTAATTACGAGGGAACATAGGATCGGACGTACTAACATACATACCCACAGGTAAAATACTAAACTAACCTCCTTTTACAGAGCAACTATTGTATAATTAATTTAACATTAATGAGGTGAAAAAAATAAAAGTAAGATATCGGGAAATGAAAAAATAATATTTAATTTAAATAATGGAAGGAAAAAATAGTGTAAATTAATTAAAATATTTTATGATTTTTAAACGAAATTTATATTTGACATAACGGCACAAATTAAGGCAAGTTATGATAAAGTTTTTTTATGTCAAAATGTTTATATTGTGTGCTATTTTATTGTGACCTATTATTTTAAAAAATACCTAAACCTTCTAGCGTTCCTTGACGTCGTTAAAGTGGAGGAATTGACTAACAAATTAAATACTTAGTGATGACAAATGGAACTCTGAGAAAGATATATTTTAAGTTGGATATTTAAGTTAATAAAATAATATATGAGTTATTCCTGTGTTTTTTTTAACATGACTAAACTAAATATTGATAAATACATATTGTATGTATTAGTCAAGTAGAAGTCGAACTAACGCTCCGAGGGCTCTGTACTACCACAACAATGTTTATTATGGACATCAATTATGTAATATAATTTTACGTAATAATCTACAAGGAGATGTTTAAAAAAAAATTAGCGTAGGAATAATAATTCGTTTTGACTGAACCCCTGTGTAATGCATCCTAATCTTGAATTACATTTCCTCAAAATAAACAAAGTATACAAAAGATAGACCACGTATACATATTACATACATAGTTCTAAATGGCTAAATTTTATCTGAGATAATTTATTTATAGTTATATTTATCCTATACAAAAAAATCTCGATGACAACTGAGAGCACAACACACAACTGAGAGCGGCTCTCGCTACGGTTTTGTCCTGAAGTGATAAGGCACATAGCGATTGTCGTTACGAAAACACCCGAATCTTCGATTACTCATATTATGTATGTTTTAAATTTGAGATCTTGTAGTAACTGAGAGCGGCTCTCGCTACGGTATTGCCCCGAGATGATAAGGCACAGAGCGACTCTCGCTACGGAAACACCCGAGTCTTCGATTACTCATATATTTTTATTATATTTGAGATCTTGTAGCAATTGAGAGCGGCTCTCGCTATGGTCTTGCCCCGAGGTGATAACACACAGAGCGACTGTCGCTACGGAAACACACGTGTGTTCGATTACTTGTATATTTTTTTTATATTTAAGATCTTTTATACATATAAGTTTTAATTTATATATTAAATATATTATTTCCTAAAACCATTTACAATATTGATAATTATATTTTAGTCGTCGCTAACACTTACAGTATATCCACTATTTACCCAGCTATACATTTGGGTAGTTTAAGTGACGAAAAATGATATGTATGAACTGCAAAAATAACTTTGTAATCCCATATATCGCATATCTATTTGTATAGGAATACAAAGTTACTTATGCAGTTTGTATATCTCGAAAACAGGATTGAAAATGCATGATGTTTGAGTTTTTCCTTGCGTTATAGGCTAAACACTAATTGTGTTCAAAATTTGAAGCTTCTATGTCTGCTAGAAGTACCTTAGAATTTTGATGATCGGTGAGTGAGTGAGTGACGATATTAACGAATTTTGATCTGCAATAGTTCTTAAACTACAGGTTCAAATTGAATGTAATTTGGAAATATGCCTAGTTTTATTATGTTCTTTTAGTCACTGAAAATTCAGGCTTCTAGCTTTATCCATAAAGAAGTTATGGGGGGGTGGAAAATGCTCTGAATCGCTTCGAGAAAAGGATGGTACTGTCGTGCCCTTTTTTGCTCGACTTGGCGGGGGCACTCCGTGCCCCCCGAATTTACTAAACATAATTAGTAAAATTGCCGGTGTTGCCGATGTTAAAAATTATGTTGCTACAGATATTGACTTTATCACTAGAGTCACTCCAAAGCATAACGATTCAAAAAAATCTAGACCTATTATAATTCGTTTCCTGTCTCGATATAAAAAGGACGACTTTCTGGCTAGATTGAGGGAAAAGAAGAATTTAAAGTGTTGTGATATCGGATATGTAGGTAATAGCAATCGCATTTACTTTAACGATCACCTTACTAGTTTCAATAAAATGATCCTCCGTAAGACTAAGGATCTAGCTCGTGAAAAGAAGATTAAATATGTATGGGTTAAGAACTGTTCCATCATGGTGAGAAAAAACGACACTAGTCCTGTTTTGCACATTTAGTCCGAAAATGATTTTAAAAGAATAATATAAGTGTTAATAATGTATTTATTGATTTATTGCATTTTTATTTCTATGTGCATGTACAATTCTTGATAAAATTTCTTAATATACCTATATATTTATTTCGCAGTTTTAAGAGACAGATGAATATTTTAATTAAACTATTTTTAGGTTTCTTTTTATCTATTTATTATTTGGAATTTTATAGATTTAATAAACATTTGTTAAAAATTTTAGTTAGTATTAATAATGTTTTTATGCGCTGTTTTCAATGTATTAATATACCTATATTTTTATTTCGCAGTTTTAAGAAAGAGATGAATATTTTAATTAAACAATTATTAGGTTTCTTTTTATCCATTCATTATTTGAAATTTAATAGATTTAATGAATATTTGTTACATTTTTTACTTAGCGGTAATAATGTTTTTATGTATTGTTTTCAATGTATTAACTGGATGAATGCAGGGTTCAAATATTTTAATCCACTTTTAATGAATTATTATTTTCTGTCAATAAATTGTTGTTTCTTATTTTTACACTTTATAATTCTTAGTAATGTTGTTATAGTATTATTTCAATGGATTCTAAAATAATTTTATTTTACCAAAATGTACGTGGTCTGCGTTCTAAAACCTCTTCAGTTTTTTCTAATATATTGAATGTAGAATACGATATTATTTGCTTAACAGAAACATGGTTGTTGCCTGGTATTTATGATTCTGAGCTCTTTGACTATAGATACTCCGTCTACCGATGCGATCGTAATTATGATTCTCGGAATGATAAACTAGGTGGTGGCGTTCTGATTGCCGTTCGAAATGGCTTAACTGTGAGAGAAGTAACCGTTCAACCCTCCACTAATACTTGCTCATCTGATGTTATTACTATTTGTATAGGCATTAAGTCAAACAACAATCTAACCAACTTTCGAATATATTGCGGTTACTTTCCCCAATGTGCGTTGCAACTTGATGATCAAATTAAATTTTATGAACAAGTATCCGAAGCAATCATTTTAAATCCTAAAGACACATTTTTATTAGTTGGAGATTTCAATATCCCGGCCGCTAATTTGTCTCAAGTTGATAATACTAACGTCACTAAACTGTTACACACACCCAGAGATTCATATTCTCAAGTTAGCCTATTATCTACTTTTTTACGAATAAATAACTTAAACCAGTTTAACATTATACCTAACGGTAATAATCGATATTTGGATCTGGTGATTAGCAATTCTAATTATATTAGTGTAAAACACTGTGAAATACCTTTAGTTAAAGAAGATTCACATCATCCCGCTCTAGAAGTTGAATTAAGCAATTTACTATCTAACTTTCTCACGAATGATCCACGAGTTGTTAAACTTTTCCGTAAAGCGAATTATCATGAAATTAATAAAAGGTTGTTTGAAATTGATTGGCCGGAGTGTTTTAAGTCTTTAGATATAGAGCGTGCAGTTGAAGTATTTTACGAAATCATTAATCGTGCTATTGATTCTCTTGTTCCCACTAAAATTGTTCTTGTAAATAATAAATATCCCATTTGGTATATAACGCAGAGGGCGTTAAAAAAAATTACTAAGGAAAAAATAAAAGTCCATAAAAAATGGAAAACTTATGAAAATTATAGTGACTATTGTACTTTTCGGATGCTGAGGAGGAGACAAAAAGTAGTTGATACCGAATGTTATAATAATTATCTGAAATACGCTGAAAATACAATTGCTAAGGACTCTAAATACTTTTGGACATTTGTAAAATCTAAAAAGCAAAGCGCTGACTTACCTGACATGTTTTACCTGGATAATTTATCTACAGATAATGGACAAGAGATTAGCGATCTTTTCAACAACTATTTTTATTCTTCTTTTGAGCAGACTCCCATTCAGTATACCCCAAATATTAAAGTAGACGTTCACCCTCGCTGTAATAGCATGGACCTTTCTTCTGTTAATATTTCAATGCTGACTGTTGATAAATACTTAAAATCATTAAACATAAACAAGGGCTGTGGTCCAGACGGTGTACCTGCTATATTCTTGAAGAGATGTAATGAGAGCCTTAGATTACCCTTATTTATTCTTTTTACTCTATCTTTACGGACGTGCACTATGCCTTCTCAATAGAAAAGGTCTTATGTAGTACCTATCTTTAAAAGCGGTGATAAGCATGACATAAAAAATTACAGTCCTATTTCGAAACTAAGTTGTATCCCTAAGATGTTTGAAAAGATGGTTTATGATACAATGTTACCCGTTATTAGACCTTTAATTATTGAACAACAGCACGGTTTTATTAACAGAAAATCTACTGAAACGAATCTTTGCGAATTCACTGATTTTGTTACGTGTGCAATGGTTATTGGATATCAGGTGGATGCCGTGTACACAGATTTTTCTAAGGCTTTTGATATATCTCACCTTATTCTTCTAGAAAAATTAAAATACATTGGTGTACACGGCGACCTTCTGCGTTGAGTCGTACCTTAGTAACCGTAGTCAAGCAGTAACTATAAAGGGTTACTGTTCATCTTTTATCCCAGTCCCGTCTGGGGTACCCCAAGGATCCCATCTAGGTCCCTTATTATTTAATGTATACATAAATGATATTAACCTAGTTTTCGAGCACTCCAAATTTTTACTATACGCTGATGATAATAAAATATTTAAAATTATTAAAGGTATAAATGATTGTATTGATTTCCAGAATGATTTAGATCGGTTTAGTGATTATTGTTCCATGAATTCTTTGTTCTTGAACATTAAAAAGTGCAATGTTATTACTTTTACTCGAAAACGTTTAACTATTAATTACTAGTACAAATTAAATAAAGAAATTATTTCCAGAGCTAGTGTGGTTAAAGATCTTGGAGTTATAATCGACTCCAAGTTAATCTTTGATGAGCACGTCGCTTATATAGCTAACAAAGCTTATCGTATGCTGGGTTTTGTACTGAGGATATCCAAAGAGTTTAAGCAACCGTCAACACACATTCTTTTGTACAACACCTCGTGAGATCTATCTTGGAGTATGCTTCTTCTGTTTGGAACCCTCAGTATAAGAATCATATTTGTAGAATCGAACGTATACATGATCGATTTATTAAGAACCTCCCAGTAAACATTTCTATTAATAATAAGAAAATTTCTATCCTTATGTCAGCAGTTGAACGACGTGCTCAACGAGATCAAGTCCTTTTATATAAGATCTTGAATAACGAAATCGATTCGCCGTATTTATTGTCTAAACTACAATTTAAATGTCCACGAAATATTAATCCCAGACAAAAATCCACTTTTTATGTCCCTGCTACCAGAACTAAATTTGCAAAAAATTCATTTATCAATAGAAGTTGTGATCAGTATAATAATCTTTTTATTAGTAATGACATATTTCATCTCTGTCTTAATAAATTTAAAATTAGTGTTATGTACAATTTGATTAATGCAAGCTGTTATTGATTTTATTATTTTACATTATTAATTTAAAAATGTGTTATTTATTGAATTATATTCTAAGGATTTTATTGATTATTTGTAATTATTGATTGTATGGCATTTCTCTCTCTCTCTCTCTTTTAAATTTGTAAGTCTTTTTTTTAATTGTTATTTTTAATATTTTGCATCTGTATCCATGTCTTTGTTATAAGTGTTATTTTAACAACGGGAACTATTATTGGTTATGTATTATCAATTGTTTGTTATTCTATGTTTATCTTGTAACACCGTTTGTGTCCTTAATAAATAAATAAATAAATAAATCCGGCGTACCGCAAGGTTCTCACCTTGGTCCATTACTCTTCAATGTTTTTATTAATGACATAACAAAGTGCTTTCATCACTCAAAATTCTACTTATTCGCAGACGACCTAAAAATAATAAAACCTATTAAAAATAACGATGATGTGACTAAACTACAAGATGATGTTAACAGACTGACAAGCTGGTGCGTCGAAAATAAGATGTCACTCAACACGTCTAAATGCCATTACATTCAATTCACTCGCAATAAAATCGCTAACCCAAAGAAATACTATATCACCTCACATCAGATTTCCCAGGTAGATACTGTTAAGGACCTTGGAATTACATTAGATGCTAGTTTGCGATACAATACCCCTATCTTAAATATTGTATCCAAGGGTTTTAAGATGTTGGGATTCGTACTAAGAAATAGTAAAGAGTTTAAGATGGCGTCCACTAAAATCAAATTATTTAATACACTCGTCCGTCCTATCTTGGAATACAATAGCATCATCTGGAACCCACATTATGACTTTTACACCAAAAGGTTAGAAAGTGTACAAAAACGTTTCCTCTATCATCTTTCTTACAGTGATACTACGGCTAAAAATCTCCCTAACTATCACAATAGATTTAAATATTACAAGATGACTTCGCTCGTTTGTCGTAGAAAAATAACAGATATTATAACACTCTATAAAATAACCCATTCAAAAAATTGATTGTAGTGAATTACTACAGCTTCTAAAATTTAACGTCCCCTCTCGCTTGCCTCGGAAAAATACATACAGTTTGTTTTATACTCCACTGTGCAAAACAAATTTGAGATATCACGCCGCTATTCCAAGGATCTGTCGACAGTACAATACGCTTTCTAAACAACATGTTGAATTAGATATCTTTTCCACTAATATGTTTCAATTCAAAAGTAGTATTACTAAATTCTTATCGTAACTTTAGTAGAAATGTTTAAATCCCATCAAAAACATTCTGTAAAAAGATTGCAAGTCTCGCAACGCATTTCTTCTACCGCAAAAAGCTATGAGATGTAATGTAAAACCAAGTCGGTTAATTTATTCATTACCTATCTATGGAAGCATCTATCCGACAACTTTGTCATAAATCGTTACCGAATTAGTTAAGTTACAACATTTTATAGTGACCGTATTAATATTAGATATATTTATTTCTTTAATTAATAGAATGACTTGGCCATCGCACGGAAACATAATCACATAAGAGTCTACTACTTTAAATAGTCCTAATTAAACATATCATGACCAAGGTGTGACGACTTGGTCAAAGTCGCTGGAGCTCACTGGATGCGGATGGCACAAGACTGGTTGTCGTGGAACTTTTTGGGGGAGGCCTATGTCCAGCTGTGGACGTGTTTGGGCTGAGATAAACTGAAAATAGCACTAGCGGGTCAAATTTATGCATACACTAACATAAATAATGCACTCAGAACGCTAATTTTAGGTAAATTTTGTTATTTGTAGATTCTATTATCATGTGCGATGGCCAAGTCATTCTATTAATTAAAGAAATAAATATATCTAATATTAATACGGTCTCTATAAAATGTTGTAACTTAACTAATTCGGTAACGATTTATGACAAAGTTGTCGGATAGATGCTTCCATAGATAGGTAATGAATAAATTAACCGACTTGGTTTTACATTACATCTCATAGCTTTTTGCGGTAGAAGAAATGCGTTGCGAGACTTGCAATCTTTTTACAGAATGTTTTTGATGGAATCTCATTTCTTTTTGTAAATATTTCTTCTTTTTCTCTTTTCTTGTACTATTTCTTATGTGTCAGCTAAGGACTTTTTAAAAGCCCACTCCTTGTCTCTGTGGGCTTTTTTTCAGAGGCTTTGATATAGGTAACAAATTTTGACAAGTCTGGATGATAAAAAATCTAAGTCTATTGTATTGGGAAATTACGGACTCCTGGACTTTAATACTACTATCTTATGCATTAAGTATAAATATGTATAGTTAATTTAACGAATATTTTAATTTCATTGTTGACCCTAAATACCTACCCCGATACTGATATTCGACTTACATAAGTTTAATAAGACGTGTAGATTTATGTATCTATCTGCAGCATCGTAGTTAAATCTCGAAAGTTGTATTCCATTCCATTTTAAAAGTAATTTTCGAAGAGATTGATATTTCATGACCTCTATATTCCATGTTCTAATAGGTGGGTACAATTACGAGCAATGAGATGTTGACAAGGTTTTCTAAGTCATATCAACATTATACTTTGTAAAAGAAAATGTACGAGCTTTGTTTCAAAATTAAGTAATCGTCAAGTTGTTTCTTAATTAGGTATATATTTTAATCAATTCATTATAAATAACAGTAATCGGCGTTTTTTAATCTTTCATCGTGTTGTTTTAAATTATTTCCATATTTTCATTTCCATATTAAAATGTCATCTATGAAATTTATTACTCCCTCGCATCCTAAAAGTATTCTTTCTAGTGTTTTTTGAAAAATTTCTGGCGCACATGTGATTCCGAACATCATCCTTTTATATCTAAATAGTGCTCTATTAGTAATAAATGTAGTTATGTATCTCGAGTCTGGGTGGAGCTCTATATGGTGGAAAGCATCTTGAATGTCTAATTTGGTAAATAATTTAGCATCTTTGACTTTTGGCAGTAACTGGTCCATAGTCGGCAATGGATGGTTTTCCCGTTGAATAGCTGTATTAGCCCGCCTCATATCAATGCACACACGGACATCACCGTTCTCTTTCACGACTGGAACTATTGGTGAAACCCAACTAGATGGGCCCTTGACTTCTTCTATTATGTCTTTGCGTAGCAAATCGATAAGTTTTGACTGTACTTTTTCTTCCAGCGGAATTGGAATACGGCGATAAGGTTGTACTATAGGTTTAACCGACTCATCTATAGGTATAACCACCAACACATCTTTAAATTTCGGAAATGCTTCACATTCAATTTGGTCAATATTAATTTGAAGCACTCCTAAACCCGTCGCTGTGAGACGTCCGAGTAAATTCCGGGTCCCATTTTCTATCACGTAGAATGTCGTGTTTTCTGCTGCTTTTAAAAAGCTGATGTCGGACTTAAATGATCCCAATAACTTTAGGGGCATTGTGCTCCCGTAAGCCACGAAGGTTTTGTTGGGGTTCCGATTAAGGTTTGTCACTTGAGCTTTATCGCGTTTCATGGCCTCCCATGTTTGCTGTGTAATTAAGTTATATTTACAACCAGAGTCTACGAGCATATTCACTTTTACTCCACCAATGCTACATGTAATTTTGATATCATTTTCCACATTAAAAATATAGTCAATTTTGTTGTCATCATTTGTTATATTGTCTGTTGTTTCAGTGTTGTTAAAACTCCTAAACCTCTTATTTCTGCTTGTATTTACTTTTTCTCCTTCTTGTTTCCTCTTCTGAGTCTCTCTCGTTTGACATTGTAATTTAAAATGCCCTATTATTCCACATTTTAAACAAGCCTTCATTCTTGCAGGACAGTTTTTATCGCGTGCAAAATGTCTTGTACTACCACACATACATACATACATACATACATACCTAGGCTGGCCTAGGTTGCATTTGGCTGGAGTAATAGTGATACCGTTTACTTCTAGTCTTTGTTATACACTTCTTACATGTTCTCTGTGCTCTTCTTCGTTTGATGAAGCTATTAGTAAGTCATCTATAAATGGAAATACATACTCTAATCCTCGTAGTACTTCGTGTATATAGCGTTGAAATATCTGTCCGGCGTTTTTTAAGCCTGGACACATACGAGAGAATTCATATAGTCCGAATGGTGTTATTATAGCTGTTTTTTCTGTATCTTCTTGCCTTACGTTGATTTGTTGATATGCGCGGTTGAGATCTATAGTTGAGAATATTGTTTTGCCTGACAGATGATGTGTGAAATCCTTGACTCGCGGGACGGGATATCGATCAGCTATTGTTATCGCGTTGAGTCTGCGATAATCTCCACATACACGTACGTCGCCGTTTTTCCACTCTTCCTTCCTTCCACGAATTTCTGAATACTGAGTTGATCTTGTTTTTGAGTTTTTAAATGGGTTTATGTTAGCTATTTTGGGTTCCAAATTCAAAACTTTATAGCCTTCGCGGCTCATTTGTTGTGTAGTAGTGTAAGTAAGTATTAAGGCATGACGTTTATATTATTCAGTATATAATCGAGTATTTGTTCTGTTTCTGCCAAAGGAATTCGCTCGGTACCGCGATGCGCCTCCCATATTTGGAGTGGAACTTTTATGTGGCTATTTCTTTACCTAAATAATTATGGACTTAAATTATTTTTATGCAGCAGCTGGCAATAATGAGCCACAGTTGGAGCAATTTAGGGTGCATCCTTCCACCATCAATATATTATTATGTGTAATTGTGCTGGTCATATGTGTGGGAGCGATATATTGCGGTTATCGAACGTATAAGCGGTGCCTCATGAAGTGGATATCATCGGAGATAACCCGGAATACGTTGCGGAGGTCTTTATTCCGTCAGTTCCAGCAGCCCGTTCTTCCCATGGCCGCATCAGACGAGGCCTATCAGCCAGGCCAAGCCCTATTCTCCAAGGCGAAAGTGTGAGTGTAGTGCGAAAATAATAAAATAAATACGTATCGCGGAGTGTAGTGTTACATATATTATGATACGTCTCGGAATAATAGGTATATGGATGTATGATGAGACAAGAATTTAACTATTGACTTTAATGTATAAATTGTAAGTTATTTTATGTATTAATATATTGTATTACATTATTCGCTTAAAATGTTTACTCTGGAAATATTTATGTGCGTATTAATTTTAAATAATCTACATGTTGGTGGTAAGTTATGGCTCTTATTTTAAATCAATTATATGAAGAATTAAAGAAAGTAGAATCATATTTAATTAAAATTGGACCAAGTAGGCGACAAGGAAATATATTACAAATTAAGTTAAGTGAAGCTAATGTTTTTTTAATAAATATTCGAGTTGGTTAGTTAATTTTAAAAAAGAGATAAGTGAGGGAAAATTGAAAAGTGAGCATATATCTCTTTATGAGAATTCTTGTAAGAAGTTTGATTTGTTATATAAGGATATTTCAGATTTGTGTTCTGATTGTGTTGAAAGCAAAAGTTGTATCGAAATGGATACTTTCAATTTAAAAACGGCTTTGACCTTGATGCCTGTTATGACAAACGAAGAAACGAGTATAAAGCAATTAGTAGATAATATTCAATATTATGATTCCTTGCTTAAATCCCCTGATTGTAAAAATAACTTAATAAGATTTTTATTAAAAAGCAGACTATCACAATCTGCTAAGTTACGTCTTCAAGATAATTATTCTTGCGTTGAAGCGTTAGTTAGTGATATGAAAAAACAGTTATTACCAAGTAAAGGTGCAACGGCTATTCAAAAAAAGTTACATAATATAAAACAAAATGACATGTCTATTTCAGATTTCGGAGAAGAAATAACGGAATTGTTTGTGAACCTTACGATTGCGCAAGCCGACGGTAAGACAGAAAACTACAATGTTTTAAAGCCCATCAATGAAAAACAAGCAATTAAACAGTTTTCCGATGGCTTACGAAATCGTAGGCTCAGTACTTTAATAGCGGCTAGAAATTTCAGCTCGTTGAAGGATGCGATACAAGCAGCCAAAGATGAGGAAACTTCGTCCCCGTCCTTTTCAGGTGAAGTAATGAGTATGTATAAACGAAACTATATATCTAAAAATTTTAATAACAGCCTTAGGTATAACCATGGAGCATCTAATCGCCAAACGTCTACACATAGACGACGCTCGTTCCGAGGGAGATCGCAGCGCGGTTGGAACTCGCCTGCATCGCGAGGCCAAGGCCAGCGCGGAACTTACAATTGAGGTATGTACAATAGACCATACCGGGGAAAATATTATTACTTCATGTATATCAATTTACACAACGACTATCGATTATATATATATATTGTTTTTTTTTTTGGTTTGGGTTAGGTTTGGCGAAAAATATTCCAATGAGTTATTAGATATTATTACTTCATGTATATCAATTTACACAACGACGATCGATTATATATATATTGTTTATTTTTTTGGTTTGGGTTAGGTTTGGCGAAAAATATTCCAATGAGTTATTAGATATTACTACTTCATGTATATCAATTTACACAACGACGATCGATTATATATATTGTTTTTTTTTTGGTTTGGGTTAGGTTTGGCGAAAAATATTCCAATGAGTTATTAGATATTATTACTTCATGTATATCAATTTACACAATGACGATCGAATATATATATATTATTTTTTTTTTGGTTTGAGTAAGGTTTGGCGAAAAATATTCCAATGAGTTATTAGATATTTTTACTTCATGTATATCAATTTACACAACGACGATCGATTATATATATATATATTGTTTTTTTTGGTTTGGGTTAGGTTTGGCGAAAAATATTCCAATGAGTTATTAGATATTATTACTTCATGTATATCAATTTACACAACGACGATCGATTATATATATATTGTTTTTTTTTTGCTTTGGGTTAGGTTTGGCGAAAAATATTCCAATGAGTTATTAGATATTATTACTTCATGTATATCAATTTACACAACGACGATCGATTATATATATATTGTTTTTTTTTGGTTTGGGTTAGGTTTGGCGAAAAATATTCCAATGAGTTATTAGATATTATTACTTCATGTATATCAATTTACACAACGACTAACTACTAACTTTGCGAAACCTTTTTTTTTTTTTTTTTTTTATAGTTGGGAAATCCTATTACGGATACCACCCGACTTCCCCCCCAGGGTGGTTATGTGGAGACTCTCCGGCTAATGAGACCGGCATACCCACTAAAACCCAACTTTCCCCACAGCCGCCATGTGGGACGCCACGGGACCGCTTTCGCATACAACCGTGACGCCCCGACGGTTGGCCGAAGCCACCAACCATGAGGCCGCCCCAAGCGGGACGACCCCATTATGGGAAGACTTGCAACCCTGAGAAGTGAGACTGCTCCCAAGTCCACTCTGCTGAACAGAGAAGTACCCGGAGCAGCCCCACACGACCAAACACCACCCACCGAAGTGGGCAACCTGCAAAAAATAAGCGGCCTAAGCCTGACCTACCACACCCAAATTGGGCAAACCACCAATACGCCCGAAACCGAGCCCACCCCAAACGGCTGCAGGAGTAGAGGATGCGACAACGCCGACACTCCTCTTCCCCTACAGCCCCACCGCGTCCACCATCAACGGTGGTGGCCCCGCTGGGCCGCGGGAGATAGGGACGAGCGGCGCATCGCCATACCGACACTCCTCTTCCCCCGCGGCCCCCCTACCGTCGGCCCACCTCCGGACCAAGATGGCTGCCGACACCCACGCCAGACGCAGGACCACCGAACTGGCCCCGCTCCAGCCGCCGCACCGACGGGCTAGCCCCGGCAGCACGGCCCGCGCAGCGCCTCCTACCGCGAAACGGCCGGAGACACCGCGCTACCTCCAAGAAGGAGACGGCGCCCTCCTGACACCGCTCCCCCTGCCCCTCCTGGCTGTTGGTCCGCGCCGGATTGCTCCGGTACCACAAGCTCCTGTCTGGGGGAACAGTCGCGAGTGGCTTTCCCCTATCCGCCACCCGGGGGACGCGTCCGGTAGCAGTCAGCCTCTGCCCCGGAAACTTTGCGAAACCTAACTTTCGGAAACCTAACTTTTGAAAACCTAACTTACGGAAACCTAACTTTGCGAAACCTTACTTACGGAAACCTAACTTTCCGCAACCTAACTTTCTGAAACCTAACTTTCAGAAACCTAACCTATGGAAACCTAACTTTCGGAAACCGTACCGTGTGGAGAGAGGGCACAACTGTGCTAACGTTAAGAATATGCTCCGTAATATTCTTTAAATACAAAATATAACCAGAAAAGGTCTGAATTGCAGTGTTAAGTAAAAATAAGTTAACAAAAAATGAGTACAATTAAAGGTAATGGTTACAACCTAATAAAAATATATTTAGTGCTTAAAATCGTGGTTTGTGCTAATCGTAACGAAATTCAGTTATACCACAGATCACATAATACTATACTAGTACAGATAGTCCAGTACATACAAATATTTGACTTTGCTAATCCGCGCTCTCAAGGTCTCAAGGTCACTATAGCAATTACAAAATATATTGCTTAGAATATTGTCTTAGAGACTTGAGTCTCGGTAATATTACATACGTTTTTTTATTTAAGTGCGTGTATCTTTAAAATCTAAATCTACCGAGTCCAATTTGAAACATTATTTTTTTGTTTTATTATTACATTTCATTTCGTGTTTTATATATTGCATAGACTTATGTATATAAATATTATTATTTTTTTAACGCAAAAAAATATTCCAATGACTTATTAGATATTATTACTTCATGTATATCAATTAAGACAACGACGATCGATTATATATATATTGTTTTTTTTTTTTTGGTTTGGGTTAAGCTTGGCGAAAAATATTCCAATGAGTTATTAGATATTATTACTTCATGTATATCAATTTACACAACGACGATCGATTATATATATATTGTTTTTTTTGGTTTGGGTTAGGTTTGGCGAAAAATATTCCAATGAGTTATTAGATATTATAACTTCATGTATATCAATTTACACAACGACGATCGATTATATATATATATATATTGTTTTTTTTTGGTTTGGGTTAGGTTTGGCGAAAAATATTCCAATGAGTTATTAGATATTATTACTTCATGTATATCAATTTACACAACGACGATCGATTATATATATATTGTTTTTTTTTTGGTTTGGGTTAGGTTTGGCGAAAAATATTCCAATGAGTTATTAGATATTATTACTTCATGTATATCAATTTACACAACGACGATCGATTATATATATATATATATATATATATATATATATATATTGTTTTTTTTTGGTTTGGGTTAGGTTTGGCGAAAAATATTCCAATGAGTTATTAGATATTATTACTTCATGTATATCAATTTACACAACGACGATCGATTATATATATATTGTTTTTTTTTTTTTGGTTTGGGTTAGGTTTGGCGAAAAATATTCCAATGAGTTATTAGATATTATTACTTCATGTATATCAATTTACACAACGACGATCGATTATATATATTGTTTTTTTTTTTTGGTTTGGGTAAGGTTTGCCGAAAAATAATCCAATGAGTTATTAGATATTATTACTTCATGTATATCAATTTACACAACGACGATCGATTATATATATATTGTTTTTTTTTTTGGTTTGGGTTAGGTTTGGCGAAAAATATTCCAATGAGTTATTAGATATTATTACTTCATGTATATCAATTTTCACAACGACGATCGATTATATATAGTACCTGGGCGACCGAGCTTTGCTCGGAGTTTTTGGCCAAAAAAAAAACATTAAAAAAACAAACTAAGAATTTGAATAAATACAAAAAAATACAAAATTAAAAACATTGTGTCCGACCGGGATACGAACCCAGATACCTGTGGTTGTCACACTCGCGCATTGGCCGCTTGACCATGATGCTTATATCTGAGCGTGCGAAATTATCGAACATAATA